CCCCGCTGCTCGCGCTTACAGCCGCTCTTTGTTCAAGGAACGTAACTTGGTCGGTTAAAGCGTATTTCAGCGGAGACGAGGTCAAAGTGAAAAAGGCACGTGGATGGTAAGGGGGGGGGGCGATTGCGGTGGCAGCAGTGGTAGCAGGGGGCCGTCTAAGTGTTTCGGGGGGCTGCAGTCCGCAAATCTGCTGAACGCCATCGCTAAGCCCCGGAGATTGTCAGGCTGGGAACGTGGCTTCTTTTAGGATAAAGCTGATGAGCATGTTGGGATTCTTGGGGTGGGATTAATTGGTGCTGAGGTGGCCGCTTCATTGCGTGGTGGTTGTGGGGCTGCAGTGGAGCAGTTTTGCAGCGCCAGTGGAATCAGACACTGGTTGTCTTGGTGTTTAAAACTTAATGTGGAGAATAAAGACAATGTGCTTCAACTTGAGCAGGGATAGGGTTTGGTGATGTTGTTTTTGTTTTGTTTTACAGCGGGTGCCTTTTTTTAACTTGACGGTTTTTACGGTGGGGTTTGTTTCGTTTGGAAAAATCTGAAGTTGCCGCACGAAGCGAGGCATTTGGCATGAATGCTTGAAGGTCAAAAGGGCCGTCGCAAGGCACCTTGACAAAAATATCTACAAGCGCGCCCCTTGTAAGCAGAGAAAACTCAAAGCACGTGTGGTGAGGAAACTTAAAAAAAACACACGCACGCAAAATGTAAAAAAATAACAACACGTTTCTGCATAGGAAATCTGATCAGTTGAGCCACGCACCTGATTGATTAATGATGCACATGGCCACCTATAACCCTGCTTGTCTTATCTTAAACTAATTTGTATAGCGTCCTAGCCGAGGCGCTTTACAGAGAATAAAGAACGGTACAAGACGTGAGTGTGACGGTGGAGATGAGGTGAATACAAGAGATGAGAGGAACCAATGGGGGTGAATCTGACAATGCGTGAATTCGGTGAAAGTGAAATTGATGAGAGTAAATGATGAATGGGGTTAATAAGTGAATGGGGTGAATGAGTGATGGCCACGTCATGAGAATATGAAGAGGGTGGTGGTTATGAGGGGGGATCAAGGGGGGGTCGTGGGGTGAGCTCGGGAACAATAAGTGAGCTTTGAGTGAGGAGCGGAAATTCTGGTGAGCGAAGGGTGACCGCTTAATGTGCGTTAGTGGACGACCTGCGTCGCTGCGCGCGTTCTCGAGGAATATTCCCCCCCACCGCCCCCGTCTGCCGCACGGAACCGACGGGTCGATGGAAGGATAACACGAGAGCCACGAATCTGCCACCCCTTGTATTCGTTTTGTCGAATCGTCTTTGGCCCCGCACACACCTGTCAAAGCGAGCCACACTTTAAGAGAGAGTAAATACATTTTGGCAACAGTTCTACTATTTTAATCGCAAGGTGCCAAGAGCAAAAAAACAAAGACAGAGATCTCCCGTGTAGCCTTAACAGACTGTAGGGGAAGCACTGTTAGCGAGTGCCCTATGAAGGCTGGAACGGTACACGAAGGGGTGGGTGGCCAGCACCACACCTGACCGCCTTTGTCTCCCTAGTGGCTACACAGACGCACACAAACGCACAACGGTGTGTCTGTTCTTTGTTCCCACTCAGTGACGATTGCCCGAACCAGTCCTAGGGCCTCCCCTAGGTCGACTCAGCCTCAAACGAGTACCTGGCGCGGTGCGTACTAAACATCGCCACTGGGGAGACAAAGGCGGCCGGGAGTGGTGCTGGCCACTCACCTCTAAATTTGCCGTGCCGGCGTTCTTAGGTGCTGGCTAACAGCGCTTGCCCCAACAGTCTGTTTCGGCTGTACGAGGGGGCCTTTGTCTCTTTGTGTTCTTTGCTCCAAGTCCGCATTGACAGTTTGCAAAAAAACCCCAAATTCACCGGCCCTTCTCTCTCGCACCGCTCACCAACTCCCCCCCCCCCCCAACTCGCCTGCCCCCGTCACTAAAAAAAGAGAGAGCTTTACCGCGACCCAGCCCATCCCTCCCGGCCCCTGCACCGGCCTGCTGCTGCTGCCCCCGCCCGCACCCACCTAGTGCCACAACAAGCACCACCATTGTAGCAGCAGCATCAGCAGTAGCTCGCCTCGCTCCCCAGGGCCAACGACTTCTCGGCCGTTCCTCCGGCGCTGGCTCGGCGGCGAGAGAGGCGAGCCGTCCCGCGATCGGAAGGTCGCGGGTTCAAATCACGGTCGGTGGTGGGCCGGGGGTGGTGCGGTTTGGCTGGGCCCATCATCCCTGCGGGGGTTGATAAAAATAAATACTACTTTGTGGGGAAATCAACGAGTGGTTGTCATTTGGAGAGATTTGCCCCCCCTCTGCCGCCCCCCCACGCCCCCCGTCGCCGCCGCCGCCATAGGAATGTGTAATTTCCAGCGGGTGCTCAGGTCTGTCAACAGGAGATGAGCGCCGTTGCCTTGATGCTCGGTTGAGCAGCAACAGCAGTAGCAGCAGCAGCAGGAGCAGCAGCAGGAGCAGCAGCAGCAGGGAGCTCAACGTCGATTTTCGAGTCGTAGTTTGAAGGAGCCTCACGTGGAGATGCTTCTTTGGTTCTGTCCGTGGAGCGATGCCAAAACCTCTCCGTGGCTCCCTGGGACACTCGGTCCCTCCCACCCCCAGCCACTTCCTTTCCCAAGCCCCACGTTTTATGAAGTATATACGATCCTCGTGTTTTAATATAGCCGGATAAATACCGTTGTATTCTAAATATTTTACTTTGAAATTCAACAAACGCATTAAGCCCTTGCGTTTTTTTTTTACTAACAAGTAAAAATAAATCGAAGGCGGTGAGGTCGGCGCTTCCACGATGGTTCTCGTGAAATGTAAATAACTCCAACGAGAGGGGTCATCCGTTGTCTTTCGCGGGCGTGGGCCCCGTGGCGTCGGTTGGGGCCACGTCGAGCCGCTGTTCCCGAGGCCTTCCACCCCGACCCGGCAGGGAAGACGCGAGCCCCTGTAGGCAGCGCTACACGGGGACAACCCCGCAGCGTATGGGCGTACGAAGGAGAAGAAGACTCGGGCTCTTGCTCGCTCACTGCCGCCTTATGAAAGCGCCCTCCCGGCCACGGTAACATCACAGACAAATAGTCGCTTCTTTTTTTTTTAGGTCGGCTAAGTTTTGTCGTAAGCCCTGAAGTAATTTGCGTTTTGTCAGATTGCGTGCCCAGATTTTTTTTATTTTAAACGTAACGCTCACCCACCCCCTCCCTTGCCCCCCCCCCCCCTGACCTTCCTCTGCCTGCGTCTTCCTAAAACCCCTCTGGCTTTCCCAGCCACCCACCCGGCAACAAACCACAAACCCTCGCCACAACAACTGTGACTCTCACAATGCAACAACAAAAATACGCATGCTATTAAAACAGTGAAATACCGCGTGCCCGCACACAGCATCGTCGGCCACTCTGTGCCCCCACGCTGGCCGATGGCAACGGCGCTGCCGACTTTGTGCTATGATGAACTTCTTTGGCGCCGTACATAGCGAACCGTGCTAATCGGAGGTGCGGGGGAGGGATAACAAAGGAATCACAAACAGCGGTTCTGAAGAAATTAGTTTTCAATCTAGATGATTTAAAATTGCGTAGCTCCGGTGGCTCCATAATATCAGAAGGAAGAACGTTCCAGATGGCCACAGAAGCGCATTCAAAAGCATGCGATGCGGTGACCGTCTTTGTTCGATGGCTAGCCAAAACCCTGCTATGAGGATGGCCGGAGTCCGCGTGATAGTCTTTGACGAGATCAGCAAGGTATTGCAGTTCATTTGTGGCAGGCACTTTGTGTGTATTGAGTGCGACCTTTTCATGTTTTTGTTCAGCATCTGGAAGCCAAAAGCATCCTGTACAGTATCCTGTATATGCCCGACCGTGTACACATTAGCTCTGTAGTCACCCCACGTCTCTTTAATGATCAAGTTTTCGGTCGAGCATCGTTTTTGCATTTTGTGCCGGGATCGATCAGGTCAATCTGCCCGAGCCAATTCGCACTGCAGGGAATTTCATATTTAGCTTCGATTTAACGTTGATTTATGTTTGCGATATTTTGAATCCTGCGCCGTGTGATGCAGCGTTTTTATTTATTTGGGACACTTTTTGACAGTTTACCCTATCAACTCATGTTTGTTTGAATTTTTTTTACCACGAGTATGGATGGTTAGTGCAGGCTTGGGGCGCCACGGTGGCAAGATGTTAACTCCCTCGCCTGGTATACAGGAGGTCATGGGTTCGATCCTGACCCTGACGCCTGTTGTATATTTGTTCTTCCTGTGGTTGTGTGGATTTGTCTCCAGGTCCTCCAGTTTTTCCCTCCACATGCGTTTAGAGTATTTGGCTGCTATACATTTCCACGTGATAAGCCACTTCGTTGCGCTATCATTTGTGGCCAGGTCGCTTGTAAAAAAAGAGCTACGTAGCTCAGAGGGGCCTCACCTGGTAAAATAAAAATAGTTTAGTTCACTTGATGTCTTGTAATAGGTGTCTATTTGGTGTTTGAACAGCTTAACAACTGTATTTATGTCATTCAATAGTGTTTTATCGTCTATACATGTATGTTGTTTTTGTTCTGATTGCTTTCCTTCATCGCTGTAATTTGTTTTGCTCGCTTGTTTCATTTTTGTTGACCCTGGTTCTTCACTCTTGAAAACGAGACTCGTCCGTGTTTCTTGAGTTCCCACCTGGTTTACACAAATTAAACGTGAGACCTTTGACCGAACGTCCCACTCCTACGCCAAGATTCCCTTACGCCAAGCCTCCTTCATTTGCCCGATGCAGCAGCTGTCGTCCATCGCTTGTCAAGCTTCCACTAACAGAAAGGGGCCTTCAGACGTCGCGCGCTTCAACCGGCATCGCTATAAGCAAAGCCTGACTCGGCCGACGAGACGCCGACTCTCGGAAACCTGACCCAGAGCTTGGCTCGTATTCACCGTTTGCCCGGAGCGGCGCTAACCCTGCCGGACGTTGCGCGCCTCCCCTCCCCTCCCCTCCCCCCCCCCCCCGTGCCGCAGATGTGGACGAGTGCGCCGGCGCGCCGGGCGTGTGCGATGGCGGCGAGTGCTCCAACACGGTGGGCGGCTACTTCTGCACGTGCCCCCGTGGCTTCGTCTCCTCCGGCGACGGCTCCCGCTGCATCGGTAAGCGGGCAGAGGAACGGCGACGCCGGAGCGCGGCTGGCCACCGTGATGGTGCGAAGTTCAACGTACGTGCGTCGTGGTCCGAGCGGCAGCGGTGGCCGGTGAGGGAGGCGCGGTGTTGGTGGGTCACCGCATGCGCGTCGTGTGAAGCTTCCCTTCCCGTGGGTGTCAAGGAGGAGTCGTGCCCTGCCGGCCTCGCCAGGAGAAGGCGGTGGTTCGGCAAAAATGTGGACTCCGCCTGTTCTGCCTGTATGGGATAGTGTTCCCCCTCGCACGATGGGTTTTCTCCGAGTGCTCCGATTTCCTCCCAAACGTAAATGCTCATTAATTGGCCGATAGGATTGCAGAGCTTGGGCAATAGTTGTCGCCGGCTCGCCGCGTGGCTGCCTTCCTGCTTGTCTGTGGTTCCTCCTCGTGCCGCCGAGTCGTTCTCTCTCTAGGCGAGCGAGCGTATACCGTGCGGCGATTTCCAAGTTCAAATTATTATTATTATGTTGTTGGTAATCACGATGATGTTTCGGTTTATGATGGAGCCACCCGCTTTGCATCACATCTCAACGCGTTTGATAGGGGCACCCCCCCCAGCGGCAGCTGACCCTGTGCGGCACAACGGTAGCTCAGCGCCTGGCTTGCAACTGGACATTGGTCTGCCAGCAGGGTGCGACGATTGCGATCGTTTTGTTTTAAGCGCATCTGAGCAATTTGCCGGGACATTTGTTTCGAATTTGGCAAATTTCGGACTACAGCGCCCGGCGCGCGCAACGCTCCCGCTCGTCCCGAACGACGTCCGGAGGTCTTTAAAGACCGCTGCGAAGCAGGCCGTTCGTATTCTGTGGTTGACACGCTTCGCAGTAATAACCAGGGTGGCCTGTTGGATTTGAACAGCGACTACCGCAAACGCGCTACAGCTGGGGCCGTGTCAACGCCTGGCTTTGGCCAGATTCTCCAGTTCCTGCCAGGTTCCAAACTCCTCCACCCCCCCCCCCCCGCCCCACCACCCTGCGGGTCCATGGCAGTGCCCCCCACCCCACCCGGTGCTGTGCCCCCCGGTGTTTTTGCGCCGGACCGTGTTTGGTGAGGGTAAGGTTTCTCCTGGAGGCTCTGGGAGCCGTGTGACCTGCGTGAACTTTGGGCCAGTCCATGTGCGAGTGGTTCGTGTGTGAGCCGTTCCCCTCGCGAGCGGTCCGCGTGCGAGCCGTCTGCGCGTGGCGACAGCGCGTAGCTCCCCGCGTGCGTTGTGCGAGTGCAGCGCGAGCTTGTGGCCTCTGGATGGTTAATTTGTACGTTTTATTTATTTACGTTCTTTGTCATCTTTCACACGATTACAGCCAAACTCTTTTTTTTGCGTCGCTATTGTCTTGCTTGGTTGGCGGGTCTAGCGCGTCCGCTGCTTGTTGCAGAGGTTCGCGGTTTGAAGGTCCATCTTAAATCGCATCCACTACGCAAACCATGGCAGATGCGGATACCTGATGCACAAATGGAAAATGTTAAATTTTCCAGTAGCGTGTGACTGTAAATCAACCAGAACAGACCGCACAACGTATAACGATGCAATGCCCCATCAACAAAATCGGCAGAGAACATCACAGCGATGATACACTCCACTGCTCCTGACGCGGTTATTTGGCTTGACCACCTGAATGTGAAATCGTAGTTGTTGCTCTGCATCTACATCAGCAGCCGTACGACAAGAAGAAGACGGTTTGATACCGGAAGACCGCCCCGATAATTATTACTATGGCGTTGTAACCGTAATGGTCCCTCCTACACGCCGTCCAATTCACAGTGGACCTGAAAGAACCCCGTGACGTCATTCGCAAGAGCAGTGCCGGCGTCAGGGCCCAAATTGGCCAAATGAGAAAATTACGCCGCCAATGGCTCGATTGGGATTTCGCGCACACGGCATCAACAACCAGGATGGTCTGCCACATTAGTCTGGTGCAAGCTCGTGTATCTTGCTTAACCAGAGACTGGGATGAGCTTCATGTGCAAGAGTGACCAGGTCACGCTTGCACTTGAGGCCCATCCTGGTCCCCCTTGAGTTCGTGCCTCTGGTTAAACAAGATAAACTGCCATGCGCACATTTTTTAGGCACAGATTTTGAACTCGATTCTACTGCTCCTATATGTTGTCTTTGTGTTTTCTCCCAGGTGTCCCTTGCAAATGAGAATTGTTATCAGAGTGGACCGGGCCTCAATCAAAGATAGACACAAGCCCTCACTGACAATCTCACTCGAATGGGTGCAAGTGTATGGGCGTGTGAGTGTGTGCCGTGCGCTCTGTGTGTGTGCGGGAGCAGTGGTGCGGTGGTTAGCACCCTGCGCTACGAACCCAGCGACCCGAGTTCGACTCCCGCTCACGGTCAACACCAGTGACGATTGTCTGAACCGGTCCTAGGTGGGCTGTGGGCGTGCAAACATCAGCACTTGCCCTCAACAGTATGTTGAGGCTATAGGGGGACCTTTGTCTTTGGTGAGATTTGACCAAGTGCCCATTTCCCGTGTTTTTTTTTCCATCACCACTCACCCGGGGGTTTCCTTTCAAGAAGCATGGTGGGGGGGGGGGGGGGCTGGGCAGTGGTGGTGGGTGGAGGGGGCATTTTGTGCACAAGCCGTGTAGTGTGAGGAGCTTGGTAGGGGGCGCGGTGGGGGGGCGGGGCGGGGGAGCGTGCGGTGCGGTTATTTGTAAAGAGAGAGGACAAGGCCCGTGGCTTGCCTGGGGATTGTGGGAAGCCGCCGTGCCGCCCTGCGAAGTGACACTTCCGTGCAGGCGTAGGATTTCGTGCAAGGGCAGATAATTACACAGCCCCCCCCCCCCACCTTCTCGTTAGCACTTGGCTCCGGGCTAGCCTATTCAGCATCCACCTCCTCTTCCCCCCGCCACCCACACCAACGCGCGCACACATTCCGCCGCTAAGAGCAGCGAGATGGTTGGTGGTGGTGGTGGTGGTCGCGAGGAGGAGGATGAAGGTGGTGGCGGTGGCGGTGGTGGCGGCTGTGCACACTGGCTTGTGACATTTTTTGCCGACAGCTGTTCCGTAACATCAATCGGGCATTTTTTTGTCGGGCCCGGGGGAAAATTTGTTGTGTAAACGACCGCAAGAGAAATTTACCACGTCCGTGCCCTCGAGTGCGGTTCGGAGGGAGAATGAAATAGAATGGAATTATGGCACGTGACAGATTCTGAGGTTTCCGAGGGGAAATGCGCCGGCCGACCGAACGCCGATCAACACACGTGCCGCCCTCATTGGCTCTCCGTGGCTCTAAACCTGATCGTCGAGTGCACGTCCACACGGTAGCTCGTGGCAATGACCGTTGTGTACGCCGAGCGACACCGAGAGACGGAGAGAATTAACGGCCGGATAAGAGAAACATTCATATTACGCCATCGCTCGATCTTCGAGGCTGGTGACGATACGGAGAGGCCTTCATCCAGCAGCGGATAAATTATGTTCACCGATGATTATGGTGATGGTGCAAGTAGGGAAATGAACGGGTATATCTATGAGCCGCATTCAGGAAACGTGCAAAGTGTGCAGCGAGCGTAAGAGAAGCGTAAGAGGAGCGTGAAGGTCGCCGCAGCGCGGGACAGCAAACTCGGAACGTGGAGCAGCGTGGGGGGGCACAGGGGCGGTGACGCGTGCCCGGCCGGAGCGTGCAGGCCGCTCGTTGCAGAAGGTCACGGTTCGAATCCGGCAGGCCACCCCGGTTACTCGCCGCGGGCGTATTAACCGTGAAACGCGGAGGCGGCGGCGCCGTCCGCTTCGTGGCGGACGTCAAAGTTGCGGCGCCGTCCGTCGTGCTCCAGACTTGCTCAAAGTTATTGAAAAACGCGACCGCGGAAACTGAGCCCGGGACCCTTCTGAAAACGAGTCTTGAGACTCAGCGAGGCGTAGCTGGGAAAACAAATGACATATTAATATCAACAATAACCGGCACATGGTAGCAAATATGCATAACAAAGCAGGTTAGTTACTGCCGCTGCTGCTTTTGCCACTTCTATTGCCGCCGCTACCGCTGCTACTGCCGCCGCTCCTGCCGCTACCGCAGCTGCTGCCGCCGCCGCCGCTGCGCGCGCTCCAAGTTTTTAGCTACGGTTGCTCCACCGGGCGCACGAACGCGTTCGCGAGCCCACGCGCGTATGCGCCACGCACGAACGGGGAACCCTTCCACGAGGTTTCTACCGCAAGAGCATGGCACAGCTGGTGACCCTCGCCTGGGCGATAAGTAAATGTCTTTTGGTGTTTTCTTTGAAAATTACCGGGCAGCTCGTGGTCTAGGACCTATTTTTGTAAGCGCGTCTGGCGGCAGTGAAGGGGAATGGAAGGAGGAGAGAGGAGGGTGGGAGGGAGCAAAGTTTTTGAGACGGCCAGACGGATGTGTGTGTGTGCCATTTCCCATGAGAGCAACGCAAATGGGTTCCATCTGCTTGCATACGCGCGTGCGTGTGCGTGTGTAAGTGTGTGTGCGTGTGTGTGTGTTCTGAGCGTGTGTGTCGGTGTTCTGAGCCAAACGCATTAGAGAATTGCATCGTGGTTAACGTTATATTTTGTTGAGGCATTTCCCTTTTACACTGATTTCTGTATTGGTCATGACACCATCGCAGTTTGTTGAAGTTGGCCCAAGGAATGGCCCCCTATGCTCGTAATACGCTACTCGGAGTCGTTCTATGGAAAGTGCAAATGTTTTTTAAGCTGTGGTACATGCACGCGCGTGTGCTTCCATTGCCCACGTAATGGACTTGTATTTTACTATTTGTTCAGCGCCGTACTTAATTGTCCATTCTAAAATTTGTCTTGGAATACTTTAAATGGTTTTTAACGTGTTTTTGAAAAGCAATGTTTACATTTTTATCTTTTGAATTTTGGCCTCTGTCTGCTCTTGGTTTGTTCCAGATGTCTCTTAGATCGCCCGACTTTTTCAAATTGGACTCCGACCTGGTTAAACATAGTACGAAATAATCTCGATTTGAAGCTTTCGTGACTGCAGGAATCCATACTC